AAGGTGGACGACACGTACTCCGCATTGCAGCGCAGGATCTTGCACTGAGAGTGAGCTGGGGGCAGACGCGGGAGGAGCGAGATGGTGCCCAGAGCCCCGCTCTATCGGAGTTGCCCCCCCGCCCCGCCCCACATCTCATCAGGGGATGCCAGCCCCTCCTGAAACCACTGAAGGCTTAAGGCCCAGCCCCCAGCTCCCTAGTCCCGCTCAGTTTTGCTAAAATGGATGAGCCCGCTATAGCTCTTCCCGTCCCCAAGTGGAATGGGGAATAGTATGGACCTGCTTGAGAGGGGGGTGACCCCTGGCACCCATTCTTCTCACTCCCTCATGCTCACATGCCCACCCTCGAGAGCAGCCTGCCTTCTAGCCCCCCCCCCCCACTTCCCTAGCCCCTCCTTACCATATCCACAGAGGAGCAGCAGGACAGTGAGGGTGCTTAGAGTCGGGGGACTGCCATGGGGGGCCCGGGGACTAGGGCACTGGCCTGGATCCCCCATACCTATCCAGCCAGGTCCCCGCAGGCTCCAGCTCTTCCCAGCGGATGGCTGTCCTACCTAGTGGACGTTGGCTGGCCGTCCTGTAAGAGACTGGGCGTGGGGAGAGAGGAGCGTCGAAGGCTGTTCTGGATGATGTGAAGGGAATGTGGAAAGGTCAAGAAAAGGGTACGCAGACCGGAGTTTGGGGAGAAGGGGGCTCCCTGAACTGTACGTGTGGCGGTTAGACCTCCGTGCCCTGCTCTGTGGCCACTTTCGGGTCCCTTATGCAACACCCCTGGGAGGGGGTGGAAGGAACGTTGGCCCCAGGGTGGGGAGCAGAGTCCACTGTGTTGCCCCATTCTCAGCTACCAAAACAGCAGAAATGTCCAAAACGGAGGAGTCATGGGGACAGATCAGATCCAACCGTTCCAGTCGGTTCCCCAATGGAATTATAGGTTCCCCAATGGACTTAGGATCTGAAAAGTGCTTCAGAAACATACCTCTTATTTGCCTCTCCCCATCAGGAGGGAACACCAGGGGTCGTTCTTTCTTTTTTACCCCCGTTGGGTTAGAATTTTCAGCAAGAACGAGAAATGATAGAATACCCATCCCTCAATATTCAAATAAAAAAGGGAGCTGATTTCATCTGTTCCAGAGAGCTGCAGTTATAACCCCTCTCTCATCCGATAACTGAGTGCAACCCACGCATGCACAACAACACCTGCTTGCACGGAGTCCACAGCTCTTGAGTATTTCCAAACCTGGCTGAGGAATCACTTTTCCCGTTAACCTTCCCTTTGCACATTTAGAAGTTCTCAGTCTCTGGACGAGGAGGGGACTTGGCGAGGGGCCTGCCTCCCCTGGGGTAAGGGTATGCCTAGGGGACGGGCACAGGAGGGAGAGTAGGACCGCAGGTCTGGAGTTGTGGGGAGAAATCATTTTTGACGAGGAGTGGCCACCATCCTTGGAAGCCCAATGCCAAGGGCACCGCTAAGCGGGGATGGGGTAGACGAATGTCATGACTAATCATGTGAGGCTAAATTTGGCCTTGATGAGAAAACCACAGACTCAGGGGTGTGGGACACTCCTGCTAAGGAAGGCTGCCTCCTCTGAAGCCTGGAGGGAACCAGGTGAAGAGAGAGCTGGAACTGCCCGAGGGGAGCCCGAGGCTTAAACTTCGAGTGGCTCGAGGCCAGAAAGAAATCAGACAGAAGGAGGAATGCAGATTGGGGCACCTTAGCCTGGAAGAGATCGTAGCTTTTGGACCAGAGATATCAGTTGCAATTCTGTGAAAGTCTCACTTCAATCCAAAAGCGTATTAAAGGAATTGCAATTTCATTTTGACTTACTGTTTCCAGAGGCCAAACATTACTCTGACATCCCGTTCTCCGGCCATCACTGCCTACTCTGTTGGTCGGCTCCAGCCAGGGGATCCCCCGTCTCTTTCTCCATGTCTCCCCTAGGCCCCCAGGCCTGCTGCAACCTCAGTGAGGTCAGGGAGCCAGAGAAGGGCTGGTGTGGGGGGAAGGGGGAGTATATGGCTGGCTGGGGCACTGGACAGCTGAGCGGGGGAGGGAGGTGGCTACTGAGTTGACTGTTTTAAAAATAGCTAAGTCCAAAATTCCAGGAGCGTTGATGGGGGTAGGGTGTGGGAGTTGGGAGGGCAGGAGGATTAGAAAGAATGTGGGGTGTAGGGTGCCAAGTAGGGGAGGGTGAACCGAAATATGACAGGCAAGTCAGATATCCAATTCCAGCTTCTAGGACTCTAGTCACTGCCTACTCCAGGCAGCCCTCCAGTATGGTCACGCATGAGCGCCCGGCCTTTAAAATGAGAGCGGGCGATTGTGTGCCTCTCGTTCACCGCCCTCATCTCCGCTGTATTGACTATTGCATTTTGTTTCTACAGATCATACCTAGCGGGGAGCTGACTTTAAACAGGGTCCAGATCGGATGTAGCTGACAGCCCTCCCCCATCTTTGCAGGCTATTTCAGAAGGACCGAAAAAGCCAGCTGCCCAGAGAAGAAATCTGAGCTCTGAGTTGTTTAGGATGAGGGTTTCAGTCTCCCAGTTCAGATCCTTGCAGCTGTCCATCCCCCTACTACCTCCATTTTCATACAGCAATGCCTCTTCCCTCCCTCTCACCAACACACACACACACACACACACACACACACACTCCTGCACAATAAAGA